TTAGATAGATAGATAGATAGATAGATAGATAGATAGATAGATAGATAGATAGATAGGTACAAATGAGAGATATGGAAAGAATGAGATATCAACAGATTTAGATAGATAGATAGATAGATAGATAGATAGATAGATAGATAGATAGATAGGAAATGAGAGATATGGAAAGAATGAGATATCCAACAGATTTAGATAGATAGATAGATAGATAGATAGATAGATAGATAGATAGATAGATAGATAGATAGATAGGAACAAATGAGAGATATGGAAAGAATGAGATATCCACAGGTTTAGATAGATAGATAGATAGATAGATAGATAGATAGATATGAAGAAACTCCAACCACCAAGCTGGCTTTACAGAAATGCCTAAACACTCATACAGAGGCGTGACAAAAGTCATAAAATATGTGTTCCGTATCCTTTAAATTCCTCTCTAGCTTGCTGAAATGAAGCCATTCGACTTGTCATCGATTCCACAAGTGATCTCAATACCTCTATACATATGTCGATAGTTGTCTACAGTTCCTTGATATTTGAGAACGCAGAATCTTGTGTGTGAATAGAATTCTTAACCAACTTCCCCAGAGCTCTTATTTCGTGAAAAAAAAAAACTCATGAGAGAATGCTTTCCTGACAACTATTGCCTCTTTAAGTTCCAGGTCAACCGATATAGATCCTACCCGTCCTCCTAATACTTTCTTAATCTCCGTCACAAACTCAATCAGTAACCTTGTGTCTTGTATTGACGAAAACACCTATGACGGAGCCAGCCTCTAACTCGCCTGCACCCGTCTTGAAATACAGACTATTTCAAACCTATGAAATACAGACTCTAGAGCAGCGATGTAGTTTACGAATTTTGCTATCCAGTACAAGAAATTGATTCTTGTAGTAGACATCAAAGTTACATCAACCACACGACGGCGCATTAAGTTGTCGACTGACTCATCACTTAATCGATCTCAGTGACACAAGTAAGTATCCATATACAACTAACTCCGTCCATAAGGAAAATGTGTAGATAACAGTCATTCTAAGAACATCTAATTATAAAAAAAATGTTTACAGCTAATTGAAGCACTTTATATAAAAAGGTTTACGATAAATCAGAAGCTTAACGTATTTGAAAAGGACAAAACCTTCTTGGCTGTTTTTAACGATACATCCAACATAGAAATGCTACTATTTCCACCCACCACGTCTTAGACGTATTATTCGTTTTAAATAATACAACTTAAAACATGAGTGTGCATGTGCGTGTGTGTGTGTGTGTGTGTTCGTGTGTGCACACACGCGCAATAAATATTATTTCGTGTTGGTTTTTACTTAAAATACAAATACGGGGTTCCTAGGATGATTTTACCACAAGTTGACTCGAAGTTGCAGCACCATATTCTACTGTAGTACCAGACAAGGGACACAGTTTCATGACTGCAAAATACAGTGCATAAAATATCACTTCTTCCTTTCTTTGAATTGTTTTTTCCTCTTGGTAACGTGACTTAACTGTACAAGGAAATCCACTTCACTACAACAGTAAAAGGCAGAATTACAAACATTTTAGAGGGAAAAATTACCGTGTATACTAACAGCAACACGTCTTACCATTGGGATGGACTTAAAATGTCATAAAAGGGATTTATTCCCGCTTTTTTAATCAATATGAAGAGAAAAATATTAACCACAGACCTACAATTTCAAAAAACACATGTACACGTCTCTTTGCTAATAAATAGGAAATTAAGGATATTTAATGATGTACAAAAAGTCGATTATTATATAACTGACAAGTTTATAATATGTATGAGCACTGTCTTTAGTTTATCGTAGAGTAGTGTTAGGTCAGTTTACTTTAAATACATTTTCTTTTTAGTTAATACTTTTTTGCATGATCAGGCTGGTATTTATTATTTCGAAAGATGCATAATATTACAAATCACCAAAAAAAGGAATAGTTGCACGATGGGATAGACACGCTAACAGAATGAATGAGAGAACTACTCGGGGTGAGTTAATTGCACATCAAGCAGACATTAAGAACTTCAATTTAAAAAGACACATGGATATATTTTAAGTTTTAATAATAATTACAGAGCGCGTTCCTGCGTGTCTTTTAAAAATGACAATTACTATGGAATGCAGATTTTATCTCAGTTACAATAAGTTTCTCTTTGTAATTTTCCCCTTGGAAGGAATCGAAAATGCTTGGATGAGAAAAAAAAATCTACGGTGCCTTCCTTGATGAATTTCATCTTAACATCAAGAAACTGATAAGAGAACTGAAAGGATCAGTGTATAAATAAATAGATACAATATATCTATATTATTCAATGAATAAATAAATCTATATGTGTGTGCGTTAGTGTGTATATGTGCAAGTATTGATATAATATGAAAGTGATCCAAAGTTATACAGTATCGATGTTTTTATTAAAAAAAAAAAACAATGCTCGATTCAGAAGTAGAGTTTAAAAATCATAATTATTTTCCTTTGAAAATATTATTTTCATCGCGACACAGAAATTACTGTTTTGAAACTGACTCAAGTTCTAAAGTTTAATTTCAATATTAAACTGAAAATTTTGAGTACAGTTTCATTCTCAAGCGATGTTTAGAATAACTAACTGAAGAAATGTTTTACTCATTTATATGTTGGAAAAACCTATAAATGAGTAAACACTAAAGTTTAAGTTTAATGTTGAAATTAAACTTTAGGAGTTGAGTCAGTTTCGAAACAGTAATGTCTGTGTCGCGATGGATTCATATCTTTAAACAATTATAATATATATATATATATATATATATATATATATATATGAAAAAAATATGTGGAAAAATAAAAATCCGAATATGCAATTATGCTGTTTTAATGTTAATTTAAAGTCGACGACAGACGTTTCGGTCTAGTAGACCATCTTCAGGACATGTTGACTTGAATATCGTCTAATGTTAATTATGTTTTAATAACTAGGTCCTGAAGAAGGTCTACTAGACCGAAACGTCTGACGTCGACATTAAATTAACATTAAAACAGCATAATTGCATATTCAGATTTTTGATTTTCCATATATTTTTTCTTCATACTGTCGGATATATATCCATATATTTGCTTACACACACACACACACACACACACACACACACACACACACATATATATATATATATATATATATATCTGTGTGTATGTGTGCGTGCGTGAGTGTGTGTGTGTCTGTGCGTGTGCGTGTGTGTGTATGTGTGTGTGTATGTATGTGTGTTTCTGTGTGTTTTTCTGTGTGTGTGAGGAGTTAAATGTATACCTATATAAATGTATGCGCGCGTGTGTGTGTGCGCGTACATATAAATAACACAACTATGTTAAAATAAACAGATACGCTTTCTCCTACCTCGAAACTAATAAACTACCTTTTGAGTTATCTGCATTTTTTATCATCTGATTTGATAGATATACAGATATGAGTAGTTGCGATCGATATATATATATATATATATATAGAGAGAGAGAGAGAGTGAGAGAGGATAGATTCTTACTTCCATGGAATGATTGTTACTCACTGTGCAACTGTAGAGATTCAATTACTCTTTTTGAAATTCATATTGATGAATATCTTCAGTTTCTTCTCATTTGCAAGATTTAAATCCGTTCCATTTGCTTAAAGATAAAGTTGTAATAACAGAGAAATCCTTCTGTGTCTGTTGACCTCAATTTCCGTTCCTCGTTTCCACTGCAATAAGGAAACACAAGCAATCAACGCCAGAGGCGCCAAGAAGTTGAATTGGAAAATATTTCTCACGTGGCATCTTCCGGATTTCACACTTTCGTTTCTTGTACTCTAACAATTTAGCTGTCGGCCAAAGCACTCCATTTACTTTCAGTTAGAACACTATATGAACAATACCCCATCTTTCTTTCTTTTTTCTTTCTTTCATTCGTTCCTTCTTTCTTTTTTATATATATATATTATATATATATATATATATATATATATATATATATATGCGCGTGTGTCTGTCTGTCTGTCTGTCTGTGCGCACGCGCATAAGCCCTAAACAAAAAGACCTGGGAATGGCTGGGTTCTACCTCCACCTCCGCCGTTTCACATCAGTTCCAGATTCCCGATGGCATATTTACAGACACCGCGCTCGGAGTATTGCCACATGATGTGAAGATGCATTGTTGATATATATATATACACTTCTGCACACATACCCATGTAGATACATCAAAAAGCTTACAAGTGAAAAAAAAAAAGCATTTATTTTGCAGCCGAAGAATTTTTCACCTTGAAAATTTCGAACCATTCATTTTTACAAAATTAATCTTTTTTCTTTGCCAAGGCATTTAACTCAAAACTTCTCGACAGATGAAGTACATCGGACATTATCTAAAGATTGTGTCAATTTATGAAAGCACTCTACTTATATATAAATAAATCTCTTACAAAAAAAACTCTTATGTTGGCGGTACATCAAGAAATCTAAAAACCCGTATCTACGAACAAAAAGAGGTCTTACGTTTAGATAATCATTAAAACTTTCTCATAACACACAGGAAGAAAACTAATCATAACATTGATTTTATATGCCACCTTAATTAAAAAAACATATAATTCATTATGTCGAAAGCACTTTGTGAGGTTACTAATAAATATTTAAGCAAATGTAAATATATGTCGAAAACATATTACATCAACAACTTTATTTGAATCCATGTTTATCTGAAACAAATGGTGTGTACGTAAAAACGTTCTCAAATCCACATACAAAAAGCCAGCAAACACACACACACACACAAACAGACACACACATAAAAAGGCTTAAACACTAATATTCCATGGTCATAATTTATTCCATTGGAATCGTAAATACGATCCAATTTATCAGACCTACAAATACAATTCTGATGAATTGGATCGTATAAATTATGACCATGGAATATTAGTGTTTAAGCCTTTTTATTATATCCTTACTCTGACCTGGACATTGAGTTC